ATTGATATGGATACGGGTATGGATGTGGATATGGGTTTGTGTATATGTATATGTGCCTGTACATGTATAGGTCTGTACATATGATTATGTATGTGCATGTGTATGTGCATGTGTATGTGTATGTGTATGTATGTATGTGTATGTATGTATGTATGTATGTATGTATGTATGTATGTATGTGCATGCATATATGTATATTGGATATATGTATATATATATACACATATATATATATAGACACGGGTATGCATGTATATATATATATATGCATATATGTATATGTATATGTGCCCACTTTTAACACACACACACACAAGCATTTTGCAAAGGGATATGCATGTAAGATACTGCTGTTGCTGCTGCGTTCACTGTTCCTGCCGGCTACTATTCGGATTAAGTGTTGCGTGTTGTTAGTGCGCTGCATCCCATGTTGCTCTATGTAGCTTTGCCTTACCCTAGACCCTAAACCCTAAACGCTAAACCTAAACCCTAAACCCTAAACCCTAAACCCCAAACCCTAAACCCTAAACCCTAAACCCTAAACCCCACACCGGGGTTTAGGGCTCAGGGTTTCTGTTATTCCTTCAGTCTGGCCGTTTCGGGGCGCCCGAAATCTTTTGCAGAGAGGGACCGGATCAAAGGAATAGCAGGCTTTGCATTTAGGGTTTGGGTTTTAGGGTCTAGAGTTTAGGATTTAGGGTTTGGGGTTTAGGGTCTAGAGTTTAGGATTTAGGGTTTGGGGTTTAGGGTTTAGAGTTTAGGATTTCGGTTTTGGGGTTTAGGGTTTAGAGTTTAGGATTTCGGGCTTGGGGTTTAGGGTTTAGAGTTTAGGATTTAGGGAAATCCTGAAAATGCCTGGTAAATTCTCCATAGAGTTTAGGATTTAGGGGAATTATTCAGATGACTTTTAAATTCCCCCAAAAGGGTTCAACAGCACTCGTCCGCGTTTGTGCCTCACAGGTGGGTGTCGCCACAGCGCAGGAGTGGCCAAGATGCCCATGCCCACCTTGACCAGAATGCATTCACGGTTTAGGGTTTAGGGTTTTGGGGTTTGGGTTTAGGGTTTAGGGTTTCGGGTTTAGGGTTTTGGGGTTTAGGTGACAGGTTACAGGGTTTTTACGGTTTCATGTGGGTTCAAGTCGAGGTTTCGCCAGAGCTCAGGGTCTACGCCCAACTTCGGAGTCTGTTGTCTTTGGGCTACAAGCTTCTTCATTACTTCCCACATGGGAGCTGCAGTAAGGAACCGACCCTAGTATAGCTCTTAAACAGTCGGATCCCCCTTCTTATACGCCTAAATCAGGTGCCTCCGCTTGCATGAAACTCCCAAATCGAAGCGGCAACCGAAAGCCCCCCCAAACCCTAAACCCTAAACCCTAAAATCAAAAGCCCAAAAGCTCGAAGCCCCAAACCTCCCAGCGCAGTGGAAAATGCCGCGGGATCAAAACCCTAAACCCTAAACCCTAACCCCTAAACCCTTTCGCCTTGGAAGTTCAGTTCCCATGGATTCCTCGAGATGGGCTCCTTTGCAGGCCGTAATAAGGAAAAAGGAGCCCATAGGGTTTGGCTGGTTTAGGGTTTAGGGTTTTGGGTTTAGGGTTGAGGGTTTAGGGTTTAGGGCTTAGGGTTTGGCTGGTTTTGGGGGTTTGTAGGAGTTTAGAGGGTTTTAAGGGGTATATAGGTTTGCGGTTTAAGGTTTTTGGGGTCTCAGTGGAACTCCATACTACTATTGGGTACTTCTCCAAGCGACTGATTACATGTAACCCCCAAATAGCTGTTCGCGAACTCAAACAGCAAACGCGTGGAACCCCCAGAAAAGAAAACCCGCTGTAAAACCCCCTGTAGAGCCTGTTGGAAACCCGTAAAGGCTCTGCTAGAATCCAAACTCACTCTTAAAATTAAGGCCGGAAGCATCTTCCGAAGCAAAACCTAAACCCTCAACCTTAAACCCTGAACCCCAAACCCTAAACCTTGAACTTTAAGTCCTAAACACCAAACCCTAAACCTTGAACTTGAAGCCCCAAACCCTAAACCTTAAACCCTAAACCCCAAACCCTAAACCCTTAAAGCCTAAGCCCCAAACCCTAAACCTTAAACCCTAAACCCCAAATCCCTAAACCCTTAAAGCCCTATAGACCCCGGAGCCGCGAGGCGCCCCTCTCTCTCCACGGCGGGACGACCCGTCCCGGCGCCCCGTCGAGTCACCGCGACCGGTCGAAGCATGGAAATCTGGTTTGGAGTTTAGGGTTCAGGGTTTCGGGTTCAGAGGGGTTTAGGGTTTATAGGGGTTAAGGGTATAGGGTTTCTCGGGGGGCAACGGACGAGACACCACGTGCTGCGAGCACAGGCTGCTTGCGGAAGGTCCGTTGTTCCTCGGAGGTGCGACCATGCATAGATCTCAAGCACTTAACAACCCAGTCTCAAAGTCAGACAACTTAACATTACCAATGGTTTGCGAGAATATATAGAGGTACGCACATCTACTCACATAGTCATACATACACTAGTATTTTACGGTCCTCGTAGGTAAAAGCCGTGACCATCAACCAAAAACCCTAAATCCTTAACCCTAAACCCTAACCCTAAACCCTAAACCCTAAACCCTAAACCCTAAACCCTAAACTTCAAGGATCAGGCCCCGTAGTCCCAAACGCTAATTCCGAATCCGGCAGCGGCGTCTGTGAGTGGTGTATCCCCTATAGCGATTTCTCGCGCCTTTCTAACCATACTTTCGCTGATAGCCCCGAAACTCTCATTCCCACCTGCACGGCTTCAGTCTATATTAGACCTAATGCCTGAACGCGACCCGCTCTTGCTTCTGCGCGTCGACGCCTTTGGAGACTGGGTCATTCGTTTCTCTCCAGCCCTAGGGTTTCTGCTATACCTACCCTAAACCCTGAATCAAAAAGGTTTACGGTGTAGGGTTTGCAACAAGGCAGGCGAACTCCTGCAAAAGCTCTTATCGCAATTCAGACCAGGCTGCGATCTCGCCCAAAACCCCGCCCGGAAATAATGGCATTGCCCTCGCTGACCCCTCAGTTTGACACCCTAAGCCCTAAACCGCGCAATCTTAAACCCCGCAGCCGGAAACCGCAACGCCTTAAGCGCAAAAAGGGAGGGTTTAGGGTTTAGGGTTTGGGAGTTTAGGGGTTTAGGGGTTTAGGGTTGAATCCGAGGCTCTAGATTTGCTGCTACAGCTGCCGGGACCGGCTCGGCAGCATCTCGTGGGAACACAGCAGCTTTTGCGTTTTTGTTTAGGGTTTAGGGTTTGCTGAATAATTTGTTATTCTCCCTCACAGTCCTTATACCCCAAACCCAACTCTGAAGTTGAGAGTTTATGATGCGGGGGTTTAGTTTGTAGGGCCTATAGTTTAGTGCTCTCATCGTGTTTAATGAATTTAGACCTGACGGTTTCAGAACTATATATAAGGTTTAGGGCTTCAGAGCTAGCGCTTAAGGTTTTACGGCACTCGGTGGCCTCAATAAGCGGGAGTCGTTGATTTACACAACCTAAACCCTAAACCCTAAACCCTAAACCCTAAACCCTAAACCCTAAACCCTAAACCCTAAACCCTAAACCCTAAACCCTAAACCCTAAACCCTAAACCCTAAACCCTTAAGCCTTCCTTGGCCATCTTCGGCGCCAATTTTGGTGAGCTACGCAGGACCCTCAAGGCCCAGGTAAACCCCAAACCCCAAAACCTTACACCCTATGATTTGGAGCTCATGATGATGCAGAATGCAAGTCCTCAAGCTATGTATGTGGTGATTAGTTTGTTGTCATGCACTAGCTTATTCTATTAAGCCATCTTATAAGATTCCGTTTTTTAAAGGATTCCTTATAAGAGTTCGTTGTTCCCTGATAATTACCCCCCCATGTAGCTCAGAGGTGCACTGCAGACCATCTTCCATTTTTTGTGGCTTCGGTGAGTGCGCCCTAAACCCTAACCCGATCTCTGGTTTTTTTTGCAGCGAGCGGGTGTGAGTTCGGAGTGCGTGGCGAGGTCCGGTGCGTGAAGTAGGGTTTAGGGTTTAGGGTTTACTGTCTGGGGTTTCATGGCACCTAGACGCATCGATGTGGATGTAGTAGGGGCCATAGATCTGGGCTAAGCCCCTTGAAAGCCATCCTAATTGAAACCTTTGAATGCCCATGACAACCGCAAGTCCTATGCGTCCGCTTCGTAAAGCCTCAGCAGAAAAGCTTCCGTCCGCCATCCTCCTGCCAAAGTTGGCCGCTGCCGCTGTCGCTGCCCACGGGACCATGCGCACTGCACGTCTGCGCAGTCGCTGCCGGCACTCCGGCTCGTGCTTAGTTTTTTGTGACTCAGCTTAGGTTCCTGGGCGTGACGATTTCAAACTGACTTCGATGCTGCGACGAAGGATTGAATCAACGGTTTGATGCACGTTAAGGAAGGAAGTGAATGGGTGGTGTTGGTGCTGATGGTGCTAAGTGTTGGCATCGTTCTCGTCGCAGCAGGGTCAGCTGTTAAACTAGCAGTAATCGTAGCGGTAGTCGTCGTCGTCGTCGTCGTCGTCGGCGTCGTCGTCGTAGAAGTCATAGTACCAACCAACAGTATACAGTAGTACCCGGCTGTTGCAGCAGTAGTAGCCATAGTCGTCGTTCGTGGTGTAGCATCGGCAGTAGCATCAGCGCGACGCAGAAGCTGCAGCAGCACTAGCCCATGGGGGGTGCGGCGGCATCAGCATCAACAGTCGTTGACGGCCGCGAGAGCTAGCCAGAGCAGAGCATCTCCCCGTAGTCGCGGCACAGCAGAAAAAAGCAATGATCAAGACAATAATCGTAGTCGTAGCTGTGGTGATCGTAAGCAGGTTGCGTGCCACGGCCACAAAGACCAAGACCAAGACGAAGATTCGGCCAACTCCACAAGCATCCTGGCAGCAGTGGCATGCTTCAGACATCTATCCCGAATCGAACTCACGAACGAGCAGTCTCCCCGGGGCGGTTCTGGTTGAGGATGGATTTGGGCTTTTGGTGGGGTATGAGTTTTGATTTCTGGGGCTGTATCAGAACCTCAAACATTAGAAACCTGATGTCTTGTGTAACACCTATGTTCCTGACTCGGTATATCAACCCTACAGTGGCGACCCTACAGAACGTTGCTGGGTAAAGCAGTAGTTGGGAGCTCTGGTTATAATTTGTCCTGTGGTGTCATTGCCCTGAATTTGAAAGTTGAACCCTAGAAAAGTTCAGTCATCCAAGTAACAACATCAATACCAATCGTTGAAAGAACAAGAACAGCAAGACGAAAATACTAATGCCCACAACAACAGTGCCACAAACGCATCATTGACGAGGCAGGAGTAAGTTGCGGCAGTAGCAGTAGCATTTGCAGTGGCAGCAGCAGGAGGAGGAGAGCAGGAGCACTAGCACTGACACTGGCACGAGCAGGTAGACGAGCACTAGCCCTAAACCCTAAACCCTAAACCCTAACCCCTAAACCCTATATGTATCTGTAGCTGTCATAGAGGCAGTGGCAGCCTCGGTAGTCGTAGTCGTAGGTTTAGTTGCAGTTATCGTCGCAGCCGTAGTCGTCGTAGTCCATGTAGGTCCTCGCAGGTCCTCGTCGTCGCAGCCGTAGCCGCAGTCGCAGTCGCAGCAGCAAAATCCGGAGCCGAAGCTTGAGCCGGAGCAGGAGAAGGAGCACTACTAGGAGTAGGGGTTTAGGGTTTAGGGTTTAGGGTTTAGGGTTTAGGGTTTAGGGTTTAGGGTTTAGGGTTTAGGGAGGAGGAGCAGCTGTCGTCGTCGTGGAACCAGGCCAATCAAGAACAACATTGTTCGCAAAATTAACTTTGTCACAAGTACTGGACCCCTACATCATTTTGTGTAGGGGAGCACATCTTCACCCTGCATCCAGCTGCTCTCCACTACGAGAAGGGTCTGTGACCTCGGGGTTCCCCAAGGCTATGGCAGCGCTTTCTCTAAACGTGCTAATTTAGGGGCCTGAATAATTACCTATATTATCTTGGGGGGGTTCCTTATTATATTTCTAGTCTAATGGGCCCCAAAACCCCATTCTAATTATATTAAGGCCCCTATAGTAAGCCATGTTCGCTGCTCTGTAACTTATACCCCGCGGGAGAGGATTGCGCATAGAGCCAACAGTGAGCCCCCGCGGTGTGGTCGTGCATGCTTCTTGTAGGCAGAAGGACCCTAGGCTTCACTCTTGATACAGCCCTAAACCCTAAACCCTAAAACCCCAAACCCGAAACCCTAAAGCCTAAACCCTAAATTCCTAAAATCCTAAACCCTAAACCTTAAACCTTAAACCGTTTGAGACAATATCGAAAACTTCGGCAGTGTGAACCCTTGTGCAGCCAGAAGCACCTGCCCTGAAGCTCGAAGAGCCAGCTCTGAGACCTGAGCAATGAACTTCACCCAGACCCAGAGAGCCAATACCCCTTTATTCAGGAATATGTCTTAAATCACAATATTAAGGCCCCTATAATTTAAGGTATATTCCTCAATTAAGGGTTATGAGGTTCTCTTGGGAGAACCCAATATCCCTTAATTAGGGAATCTTCCTTTAATTATGGGGGCCGTAATACTATGATTTAAGGTATATTCCTTAATAGTATGATTTAGGGTCTCGTCCTTAACTTTATGATTCAAGGTATAGTCTTTAATGCTATGATTTAAGGCATAGTCTATAGTTGTACGATTAAAGGTATAGGCCTCAATATGATGTAAGGTATATTCCTTGCTTAATTGGGTATTGGGTATTGGGTTCTCTGGGCAGGTCCTACACGTATAACCAGGGATCCGACCCTCGTCGCCCTAGGCCCCAGTCATACATACCCAAAGCCCGCAAAACTCAGCAAACCCCCAAAACCTAAACCCTAGGCCCTACACCCTACATCCTTAACCCTAGGCCCTAAATCCTAAGCCCTAAACCCTAAACCCTAAACCCTAAATCCTAAGCCCTAAACCCTAAACCCAAAAGGCCTCCTTTTTAGTTCGGCTCGAACGCCTGACAATTTCAAGGCGGTGCCCGCGCAGTCGGCCCCAGAGTGGCGAGAGAGGTGGGTTCATAGCGAGTTCTGTGGGGTGTTGGGTGTAGTAGGGTTTAGGGTTTAGGGTTTAGGGGTTTAGGGTTTAGGGGTTTAGGGTTTAGGGTCTTATGAAAGTCTTTATGAAGGTTATCTGAGGCTTTGCATTCGGATCTTATGAGGGGCTTGGATTCATGATCAGGGTTTGAAATTGGACTTCCTACGGTCTCGCGGTTAGACATTGGCGATTAGAATCCCTTCCTTGGTGTGGTTTGATCTCTCCTCTCAGGGTTATTACAACGGCCGATGAGGTTTCTGCACAGATTTCGTTCGCGGTAACTGGAAAGATTGTTGAAAAAGGTACTATACAGATTGGTATTACCCCGAGGGTTATTACCGTGAGAGGTTTGAAAGGTACTAGTAGGGTTTAGGGTTTGGGGTTCTGTAGCCGCTAGTTTGCCCTAAACCCTAGAACCCTTAACCCTAAACCTGAAACCCTAAGCTGTAAACCCTAAACCCTAAACCCTATACCCTAAACCCGACTCACGAGATTCCCACAAAGCTTTATTGCAATCAGCCTCAAGACGACCCTAGACCCCCGAACCCTGCTTGTCATGTTCCCAGAGATCCCAATACACCTGAATTTAAGGAGTATACCTTACCTACAGGGTCATACCCTACCCCTTTTTTAAGGTACCTAGTTCTATGGTTAGGACCTGTTATACAAAAGTAGGCAGCCTAAAAAAGGGGTAGGGTATGACCCTATAGGTAAAGCATAATATTCAGCCCCCTGTAACTGAATAAGGTATGTTCCGTAATTCCCTTATAAAGCCCTTATAGAAGCCCTACAGAAACCCTTATAGATCCCTTTATGGAACCCTAATTAAGGTATATTCCCTAGTTAAGGGATAGTGGTATCTCTGAGTTCCTTCAATTTAGACCTCCGGCAGTGTTTGCCGTTCCGGTTTGGCGTCTAGGGTTTAGGGATTTTCAGGGTTTCGGGCGCCACCAAACCCGACAACACTCCAACAAGCTCCAATCCCTAACCACAGACGTTTCTAACCGTTTTGCTGTCAACCCTACATATGCTCTAAGCAGCCTTAATGTAAGTCTCAGACGCATTTTCAAGACTGTACATACCCCTGAGTCGTAAATTCAGAAACCCTAGATCCCCATACCGAGTCTCTACACTCCGAACCCTAACATTTAAACTGCTTTCCTCCTGAAGGCATTGGTTTCCAGTAGCTTCCACCTTGGAGCTTGATCCCAAGCGACCGACACCCGTGCGCATCGATGGCGGCTTGGGTCGTTTTAGGTTTCTCTTGCTTTGGGACGTGAGGGTTTTGAGGCTTTGCGGTTTGCAGACATTGAATTTAGCTTTTCTTCAGGGTAGAGGGGTTTGGGTTTATGTTTAGAGTTGCTGTGTTTGAGACTGATGCTGCGGAACACAGGCACCGGGAAGGTTTTCGCATTCCAAACAGGAAAGACACAACCTTTGACTGGTAGCCACTCACCCTAAACCCTAAACCCTTAACCCTAAATCCTAAAATCCCTACACCTTAAAAGCCCTCTGAACCCAAAGCCCTGCCCCTAAAATGCAAAAGCGCAAAGCCCTGTGAACCCACAGCAGATCCTCCGTACGCCCGAGAGGGGGTTCAGGGAGTTCAGGGTTTAGGNNGGGTTTAGGGTTTAGGGTTGAGCCGTAAACTCCTTAGATTCTTGAAGGTTTTGAAAGGATCACGGCACATAGTCAGTAGGTTATACGGAGAGTTGCAAGTAGAAGAACCCACCCTGACCTACATCTGCACGCAGACCCCCTTACCAAGTGTCCCGATTTTTTAAGTAACCCTAAGCCGAAAGGTATCCTCAAGGTCCGGACCCTAAACCCGAAGCCTTTACCTATTATAACCTAAACCCTACACCCCAAACC